AATATTTAAATATCTTAAATGCCTAATTATGTCTGTACCCTCCTTCACTCCCCCCAAATCTGAACCAAGTGCCAATTTTACATGTACAATCGATCAGACACAAATGCTAGATCCACAATCGGTGCTCTGTGTACAAACCTTAAGAGCTGAGCAATCTTTTCTGATGGGGCCAGAAAGAAAGCAGGCCACCAGACCAAATTGACATAATAAGCGAAGTGGTGGCAAATTACATTTCTCGAAATACAGAAAAACAATATTACACCGAGACCTTGAATTTTACTCAGGCACATCCGGAAATAACATGCACTCTAAGTCACAAACAGATTGAATCGATGGACCAATGTTTTTTCTAAAGAAAGCGAAGACAGCCACTCCAAATTGAAAATCTCAGGGACAGCTGAAAATGGGATGAGTGACCTTGCAGGTGTACTCCATCTCAAGTGTAGATGGATTTATACTGTAATTGACTCAAACTGTGTACAACATCTGTGCACGGAAACAGACCGACTGAAGTCAATTTTCACTGGAGAACTTTTCACTGCAGTAGCTTGCAAGGTATGAGGGGAATGAACACACGTGGACACACACACATGAAGGAACATGCACACAAACACACACAGACACACACAACCCCAAGGTAATAGATGAATACAGTACAAGGGGATGAAACTGTAAGAAGTTTACCCTTCATAAGCTTTTATCAATCATCAAACATACATGCTGTTAGACATACAAATGGAGTTAGGTTAAAGGGTTAGGGGAAGGGTTAGCTAGCATGCTAAGTAGTTGCAAAGTAGCACGAAAATAGTAAGTAGTTGCTAATTAGCTAAAGTTGTCCGTAATGACATAAAAACCTTTGGGTTGCTAGACATTCGCGTTATACTCCCAACCAACCTCCCTCCTATTGTTTCTGTCTTAAGTAACCTACTGTCTTTATCTGTGATTGAAATTAACTGTATACAAAATCGTGTAATGCACACAAAAAGAATTTCTGTTACGAATTTCCAATAAGCAATTTGTGTCTATTTCACAATAATCTGTGATACTGGGTTCCTAATTACTGCACTGGATCTCCAAGTCCTTGACACCTGGGCTCCCGAGTGGCGCAGTGGTCAAAGGCACTGGTTCGATTCCAGGCTGTATCACAACCGGCCGTGATTGGGAGTCCCATAGGGCGGCGCACAATTGGCCCAGCGTCGTCCGGGTTTGGCCGGTGTAGGCCGTCATTGTAAATAAGAATTTGTTCTTAACTGACTTGCCTAGTTAAATAAAAAAATAAACACCCCCATCTCCTTATCCACTCAACAAGAAGACATGAATGGCCACCATTAATTGACAAGGAGAGGTAGATTACACATTAAAGTGGCATAAGACATCAAAGGGCTGTTGTAAGCACGAGGCATTACCTTTTTGTGACACTCAAAATGGTGTCATGAGGAAACTGTGAAAGGTCATACATTTTTTATTTTTTAAAGAGTACCTTTTATCGTAAAAAAATTTTTATTCGGATTTGAGGATCAATATTAATGAACTTAATGTAAACTTCTGTGTCCGTATGTATCAGTTGTCTTAGAGAAGGAGTGCTGATCTAGGATCAGCTAGCCCATGTCCATGTAACCTCATTCACTGTCATTTAAAAGCCAAAACTGATCCTTAAAGCACTCCTACTCTGAGACGCTTGATACATACGGCCTATGGAGACATCAATTATTGTATTTGTCAGAAGACAAAATGATGTTGAATGAAACACTGAAAGCAGAACTAGCAGGATCCATGTGGGGGGTTGGTCTTAGTACGCTTCTCAGCCTGTTCCTAGCAACAGCTCACCTCACTGAACCAGGAGAAAGTTAAAGGGCAATTCCACCACTTTTCAACCTCATATTCATTATCTCCAGCACCAAACCAGTATCTACATATGTGAAAACAGCACGTTTCTATGATCTGTGGTTAAAAAGATAAGAAGAAAGGTCCTAAAAAATGATTCTCTGTAACCACGTTTCATCCATTTTTTTAATGCAAATAAAGTCATACCATAAGAGAGGGTATTTTCTTGTTCCCCACATCACCGCGAATTTCATAGTGTTTGAAAATCACTGTTTTTAAAATACTTATTTTCCACCATAATTTGCAAATCAATTCATTAAAAATCCTACAATGTGATTTTCTGGAATTTTTTTTCTCAGTTTGTCTGTCATAGTTGACGTGTACCTATGATGAAAATTACAGGCCTCTCTCATCTTTTTAAGTGGGAGAACTTGCACAATTGGTGGCTGACTAAATACTTTTTTTCCCCACTGTAAATGCAGAAAGACTTTTATTTGAAAGTCAACACTGTTCGGGACCTAGATAAGAGTCTGTTACTGATGTTGATTTTGGAAGAACTTGACACAATGTCATGCACATGCAAAGATGAGTCAGACTGACTTTGCAATATCATCAAATGAAACTCTTGGGTTCAAAATCATATATTATTTATTCCATTTAAATATGTTTTTATATTACACAGGTCCATGTTAAATTATACAAACACTCTGTGCTAAGAATATCCTTTCCAAGAATTCCCACAAACTCCATGCTAAAACTTGTAACATATGCACATAAGAAACGTAGAATTCAGAGTTTTTTACACCGGGGAATGAGTTGAATGTGACATTTTACACCCCTTCCATCCCCTTTTTGGTACATCCATTTGTTAGCAATTAACATAATTTCACAAGAAATAAATTACATTTAAAAAATAACAATAATGTTGTCCTACTTTTCATGGAAAGGGGACACCTAGTCAGTTGCACAACTGAATGCATTCAACTGAAATGTGTCTTCCACATTTAACCCAACCCCTCTGAATTAGAGAGGTGCGGGGGGATGCCTTAATTGACGTCATCGGCGCCCAGGGAGCAGTTATTGTTGGGAGTTAACTGACTTGCTCAAGGGCAGAAAGGCAGAGTTTTTTTTTGCCAGCTAGGGGATTCAAACCAACGATCTTTCGGTTACTAGCCCAACGCTCTTAAACGCTTGGCTACCTGCCGCCCGTTGGACACTGAGTCCCCCGAGACAGGCAGGGACAACAGGCCATGCAAGACAAATCTTTCACATCTTTGATTGGACATAAAGGAATCGAGTGTGTAAGAGATTGTTATATGGCTGGTGAACTCTACATCAAGATACATCTCAGAAGCAGGCTTTTCTGTATGTGTGTGTGTGTGTGTGTGTGTGTGTGTGTGTGTGTGTGTGTGTGTGTGTGTGTGTGTGTGTGTGTGTGTGTGTGTGTGTGTGCATATATGTTGATCAGACAGGAAGCTTTCCCAGGAATTGTGATACCAAACTTTGATTCCCTCTGATCTAAGCAAACACACGTGGATTAATACACAGTGTGACTTCGATGATGACAAATTAGTAGCAGTTTCAGCACTAAGGACACAGTCAATCTCGTAACGGAACATGGATTAGTGCAAAGTAACATGGGAAGGGCCTGAGTGAAGGGTAGGAGAGGCTTGTACTGAACTGTAGCTCCACTCACTGACAACCTTTGGTTTAGACAGAAGGCAGGGCTTTTGGTGCAGTGTGAACTGTGAACGTATTGGGGCTTGCATCCCAAATGTGAACCTGTGGGATGTAAGGCAAGTTCTGGATAATGGCAGGGTGGGTGTTGGGTTCAAACACCTGTTCATTGGTCAATTCAAGGCAGGGATTAGGGAAAAAACATTATCTTGGGGGTGGCCTGGAAAACCCACGGGATATTTGGTCCTTCCAGTTAAGAGTCACTGGCCATTCATATGCTGAATCCAAAACCAGTCCTTTCCCCTCTGCCCTACCATTTGCACGTTCACGCACGCCTCCGCCATATGCACAAATGTCCAAAAAATGATAGAGGGTCTAGGGGCTAATTAGACCCCACTTTGACCGAGCCAGCCAGGCTGCCGGCTCCAGCGCGAAGTGCTATCCCAACACGCAGCACAAGATGTTTGGAGTTTGCGCAATTTCATACAAAAGAATGGAGAGGCGTGCCTAACTATATGCAATGTGCATTTGTTTGTGTCTTATTTCGAGCAAATACCAAATAAATTACCTCACAAATTAAATATAATCTGTTAACTGTTACTGAGGTTTATATCTTCTAAAACAAGAAGGGGAATTAGTTAATTAGAATTTCATGCTCATATTATTATTTAAATGTGAAACATGAATTGTACCATTCAAGTGAGGAGTGTGTTCCGAAGTTGATGGGCTTATTTTATCACCTCTCCACTCTGGAAGTCCCCCTAGGAGTTTCTTCAACAACACGTGACAACTCAAGTGAGTTGGTAGAGGCAAGGGGCTGGTTTGGGATTCACCTGTACTTTACCTCTAAGACAGTGCAGACAGTGAGTCAGTGCTGGCAAACGCCTGGATTATTTCTATTTAGGAATGAAAATCTTCTCGTAGGCTCTTTCCTTGCTTTGAAAAGTCAAAATAATTCACTCCTAAATTACTTTTAAAAATAAATTACATTTTCTCCATATATAAATACATATTTCTCTATGCACTTAAGCCAATTAAACTTTAAATTCAAGACTAAATCACTACAGATACAAGTGTTAAGCCACCATTTAATTTATGAGTCATCCCATTAAATACAAAACAAGTCATAACTGGTACCATCTGTCAACACAAAACGTGACTACTAACCCACATAGATATAGGCAAAGTCATGAGATGATGCAAAAATAAAATCAGTAGTAAAAACAAAAAAGGGGATTTGTGCTCGGCATGATAATATTTTTTTCCTCATTGACCAAGTGTGACCCTTCTCAAATCCCTCACAGAGAGAGCGAGAGAGAGAGAGAGACATTGAACAAAAACACTTCCAGACTTATTCAGCCTAAAACTGTTGACCCCTCTCAAAACGGAGTGGCTTGGTCTGTCTCAGCTGGCTCTTTTGGTGAGGATTCTGAGGAAAGCACAAAAATCTTGTCTTTTCAGCCTCTTCTTTCACTGTTTAAGATTCCTTAGTTCCACCACTACTGCAGGTTCTTCAGGATGCGCCCGTAGCGGAAGTCGTAGACGTGGCGACAAACAAACACCAGGTTGGGGTCGATGTCCGTGGGCACACAGCGGTGGGCAGGGGTGCCGTTTTCAACACAAGGCGGCACCATTCTGGTGGCACTTTCAGGGAGACCCTCCCCGCGACGTTTCACCAAGGCACAAAATCTGAAACACCATGTCAAGAAGACCACCCAAATACTTAAATGGCAATTCCACCACCTTTCAACCTCATTTTCATTATCTCCAGCACAATACCAGTGTCTACATATGTGAAAACGGCACATTTCTACGTTTTGTAGAAAAATATATAACATTCAAAAAGTTCCTCCCGATGACGTCATCAGAAGTTAAAACATTTGTGAAAACTATGAGATTCACGGTTACGTGGAGAGCAAGAAAATACCCTCCCTCTGGCTAGGAACTCGTTGATGGTTTTGAAAATCACAGTTTTTCGTACTTATAATACTACCTTGTGATGTCACAGAGAAGCATTTGTTTTTGTCTTTTTAACCACAGATCATAAAAACGCACAGTTTTTACATATCTAGACACTTGTAGGGTGCTGGAGATAATTAATATGAGGTTGTAAAGTGGTGGAATTGCCCTTTAACATCTTAGAATAGCCCACAGAGAAAAATAAGTGAACAAACACAATGCAACAGATACAATGTAATACAATCCACTCAACATCTTGTGACTCCCACATCCTATTCATTCTCACACCCCATCTCCCATCAGCGAAAAACAGACATCTTACCTACAGTACTGTGCTAACGTCAAAACGTAGCACTTGTCTTCAATGCAGGCCACACTGTTCTGGTCCTGATGCCGAGATGCAAAAATCTCATTCTGGAAACGAAGTCAGGTGACAAGGCGGAAGAAAATGATGCGTGAATCTTCACTTATGAACCAAAACAAATACCTTGCTTAAAGGGATATTTCAGCAATTTTACATATTTACATGTATCAAAATATGTTATTACTGAACTATCCCTTTAATATAAAGAGGAATCCCCTAACTGTGTGTTTCTGACATCATCACCAAAACCCACTTCCCATCAGGAAATCACACAGTCATGGGAAATCAAAAATGTGTCTTGATTTAATCCTAGCTAGTTATCCTTACAGAGGCTTTAGTAGAGCAAAGCAGTAGCTTTGGTCTTCTCAAAGCTTAGGGTATTAAGTAGGGCACAATGTAGCAAAACCTTTTACAACAGGTAATGAAAATCAGTGTTTTCATTGGACAAGTTCAGTTGGTGCCTCCCTGTTTCAAAATGTTTTTCTCCCTGCCGAACACAACCTAGCTCTCTCGCAGATCATTTCCACTGGGCACACACTGATTGAATCAACGTTTTTTCCACGTCATTTCAATGAAATTACGTTGAACTAACATGGAATAAACGTTGAATTGACGTCTGTGCCCAGTGGGTTGTGAATATGGCTGATGTTTATTATTTCTAGCCTGGGTGAACAAAGTATGTTTGTTCCTGAGGGATATTGACAACGGGAAGCCTGTAGCCTATTTCTCCGGGAAATACATAATTCAACGGAAGCAATGTGTTTGCCATCTCATTCCCTATGGAGAACCAGGCTGGGGCTGGACAAACATTGTGGATGGCAGCCACACAGTGTGAACTCGGCTTTCTGCGAACTCACCTCACAGTGTGTGCTGGGATTGCGGCCTCCCTGTGTGTGTTCTGGGCGGTAGTACCAAAACAGGCTCATCATCATCTCTCCTGAGTATACACACACAATTTTCAGAGTGAGAAGAGGATAACTAAGGTTGTATCGAATTGTGATGGGTAGGGATTCCATCCGGTGATGGGTAGGGATCCATAATATTTCACGTTTTGTCACATTCTATAAATGATTATGCGGCAAACAATGGTCTGTTTAACAGACCTTGGTTCAAATGGTATTTGTTTTCATTCTAATGTTTTGAGCGTTTGATTCCTGCCTGGAATGAAAGATGGGCAGGTTTTGTACTTTTGGGACTATTTCATTAGTTCCAGTGTGCCAGGCAAGCTCAATCAAGCTCAATACTATTTGAACCTGTGGGTCTATGGTTTTAAACATGGCTATAGTTTAGTTTTTCATCCATCTGTGTCAGTTTAGCTTTGTGTAAAAAAGGTGGCGCCCTCACCAGATTCTGAGTCCTCCCACAGGGCTGAGATTTTGGCTATATAGGGCAGAGACTTCTTCCTGGGGCCAGAGCGCAGTAGGACTGTGTCTCGAACCCGAATGACCTCCCCATCCCGCTTGACCCCTTCGAAACATTTGCGCAATACTGTTGTCTCCTCCCCCTGGAAACATAGTCAATATATCACCGTTGTTGCCACATACTATTAGCAATGTTATTAGTACATGCAAGCACATGCTAAGCACATGATGTGTAATAATATCATACATGCATTCAGACAAAGTTTATCTTTAGAGTACGAATTATAATACTCTGTAGCCTCAGCTAGCTACCTTACAAGGTACAAGCAATATCTCTTAAAGGAATAATCCACCCCAAATCACTAATTCCAGTGTTGAACAGTGTTAAATAACACTAATATGTGAAAACAACAACATTTTGTGAAGAAATGTTTCATTTTGTTGTTGTAACAAGGTTGGTAGCAACATGTGAAAATCGTTGTGGAAATCTGTTGCAGCTCACGTAGATTACAAAACCCACAATGCAATGCTCTCTCTCTGGGCTAGCTAGGTAGCTAGCTAGCAAACGTAGCTACACACAATAATACCAAAGTAAATATCAGCATGTGAAGTAGCTAGCTAGCTGTAAAATTGCCTAAACAAACTGCTCTATCTATTTAGGAGTCTATCACACTGAGTTCAACTTGCAGTTCCTCTCTGCCCAGAGTGAGTGCAGAGTACATTGCAATGGCAACAATGGCCCTTTCCCACATTTCCCACAGGCACACAGGGCGCATTGCGAGATGGTACTTGAAGGAGAAACTGAATTGAATAATTTGGTGGACTGTTTAGATTGAGCACATCTAAGCGAAAGATATACTTTGTCATAATGATATAGACGGATGGCTGTGTTCTGGACCAGTGGTTCTCAACTGGTTTTGCCTCGGGACCCAAATTATCGCGACCCAATATTCGAATCGCAAAATATAATCGACAAAATACAATCTGGAAAACTATACTGAACAAAAATATAGACGCAACATGCAACAATTTCAAAGAATTTACAGTTCATAGAAGTAAATCAGTTAATTTAAATAAATTCATTAGGCCCTAATATATGGATTTCACAGGACTGCGCAAGGGCGCAGCCATGGGTCGGCCTGGGAGGGCACAGGCCCAGCCGCTGGGGAGCCAGGCCCACCCACTGGGGAGCCAGGCCCAGCCAATCAGAATGAGTTTTTCTCTACAAAAGGGCTTTATTATAAACAGAAATACTCCTCAGCACCCCCTCAGATGATCCCGCAGGTGAAGAAGCCGGATCTGGAGGTCCTGGGCTGGCGTGGTTACACGTTGTCTGCGGTTTTGAGGCCGGATGGACGTACTGCCAAATTCTGTAAAACGAAGTTGGAGGCTTATGGTAGAGAAATGAACATTCAATTCTCTGGCAACAGCTCTGGTGGACATTCCTGCAGTCAGCATGCCAATTGCATGCTCCCTCAAAACTGCACATTTTAGAGTGGCCTTTTATTGTCCCCAGCACAAGGTGCACCTGTGTAATGATCATACTGTTTAATCAGCTTCTTGATATGCCACACCTGTCAGGTAGATGGATTATCTTTGCAAAGGAGAAATGCTCACTAACAGGGATGTAAACAAATTTGTGCACACAAGAAAAATAAGCTTTTAGTGCGTATGGAACATTTCTGGGATCCTTTACCTCAGCTCATGAAACATGGGACCAACACTTCATGTTGCGTTTATATATTTTTTCAGTATATTTTAAATGCTATATTGATATTAAATGTAGCAATTACATGACAAGGGAACAACATTTTGCCCATAATCTTGGTGAAGAATGTTAATAAACTCACTGGTTTGAGACCACAAAATCAACCAAAATGGGGCTGCTAATAGCTCTATATTAAAAATACAGTTATTGAAGAAAGATTGTTCATAGATAAAATTATTTAAAAATGTCAATTCATTATAATTTCTACACACTTTCTACCTGGTTTAAGTCACTTAAGTTCAGACTGGAATATTTTTTCATTAAATTATTATTATTATTTTTAAAAAAAATTTGACACCAGCGACCCATTCAAATGCTCCCACCAGTTGAGAATCGCTGTTCTAGATAACTATGCCCATACCATCTATTGGCTGATTTGATGATCTGGAGTGCAGGTATTTGTTTTAAAAGCGTTATGAAATGTGATAGTGTGATCCCCTATCTCCAGTGACGAGAACCATGTACAGTAGCTATGTCGCGTTCCTACACGATTTCCTGATTTCACAGACGGACCACTTAGAAGTTAAATCAAGGGGAATATTGTTATTTTACCTACTGATAAAACATAGGCTTTCACCAAATTGACAGGAGTTTCATGATTTTTATTTCTGGGGGTGGATTATCCCTTTAACACAGCAACACATACCACAGTGAAAACCTCCCTCTTGAAGGGCACGCCCACAGGCAGCCAGCCATTGGTTGCCCGACGACGGGTGATCCTCTGCTGTTTGGCAGCTCTGCTGGCTGCGCGGCCGGCGGGCCCAAGCTGCTGCTTGTCTTGAATGTGGGGGCAGACGGATGGCGAGTCGTCGCTCACCCCAGACAGAGAGCCGCTGGGTGGCTTGGCACTCTGAGGGCACTCCCGGGCCACCTGCAGCGGGACCTGCGGTTGCCTGGGGTTTGATAGAGAGGTCTGAAAGCAGGCCACTGATTGGGCAGCTGGGGGAGTGCTGGGGCTGGCGGGGCAGCCGGAGAGGGTCCGGGGTGCGGGGGAGGCTGGGACAGAGGAGGAGCTATGGTCCTCCAGAGACGAGGAGTAGTCTTCTGTGGGGAAAAGTGGAGCTGTCAGACACTGGAGTGATCAGTCTCTTAAACACACACACATGCACCCACACACACACCCTCACACACACCCTCACAAAAACTCCACACTCATCCTCTCCTTTCCTGTCATGGTGGGCCCGCTCTGTTTCAGCGCCACTGATATAGAAACAGTGACACTGCATGCAGTAGAGATTAGAACACTGCCTATCTGTATCCCCTGTATTAATTGAAGATGTGAGGCACAGGGCTGACACAGCGGGCCACAAATGCACATCAGAATGACAGAGATGGCCATTTATTGTGGCCTGATGGACCACAGATCGGCAGTGTGGGATCAGAGAACTGGTTAAAGTCACAGGAGGCCATTAAGGATCATCAGAAGGGAGGGAACACTGTATTTACACCCCTGTTGATATGATACTGTAATATACAAAGTGATGCCAGTCAGTGGAGGGTCAAAGCATTTTATGCACCTTTTTTTGTGAATATCGTTTAGCCTCCTATTACGCTAAATGTGTTTTTTTTTTTGTATTATAGCATTTCTGTTACTTGACTCCCATGATCTCAATCGTTACTCATTTACCACTTCTGTTTATTCCTGGAAATATATTATTACATAATCTGATGCATGATTGGATCTGTGCACAAAGGTAGTGGAGATGCTGTAATGTACTCTAATGTAATGTCGGAGTGTATGGTGTCTTTAAAAAACCCATAGGAATCAACCAATCACACTAGTGTAGGGCAGCTTCACCTGACCATTAAGGCCAGCTAGGATGAGAGATGATACAATAAATGTCACATTATAATAAATTATCTCAATCTTGTTGTAGCTGAAAATAAAAAAAAGATTTCTCGATCACTTCTTTGGGGAAAAGGGTCAATTTCTGTGTCACTTCAAAGCAGGCAGCTAAACAGAGACACTGCCAAATATAAATGTACTTCAGCTAATAGCACCTCTGACTGTGCAATGCCAATGATATGCCATCTTGATCTGTAATCGGCCTATTTAATGAGGTTGTGAGTGCTGCTGTGGTCCCTGGCAAATAAGACCTGACCACAGACCAGCTGAGAACAAATTCCCTCAGTGGCAGTGGCCCTGTTCTGCTGTCCTCCACTGCTCCTGAGGCAGTGACTAAAGAACCATATAGGGGCTATTATACTTTGGGACTCCTGGTTGATAGTAACAACATGTGGAATCATGTCAGCCTGTCTTGTGTGTACAGTACCAAGCTCTGCTACAAAGACTAACAGACCCTATATAGAGGACAACTGGGAGCAATTGGGATTTCGGAGTAACTGGGGTCCACAGCTTGGCATCTCTGCATGAATACTACTCAGCTTCAGTAGTAAATACAGTACATTCTATCTAAACCATCTGTGGTGATTACTCATACTCATGCAACTTGTGGCTAGATACAGTAGTTAAGGCACTCCACTGACCGTGTACGTAGAGTGGAGGGCAGGGATAAAGAAACAAAGTTCAGCTCAGGACTGTGGATTTTCAACCCTACCAGGCTTTTAGACCCCACTGAATGAATCCGGAGAACATGACTGAACAACTTTCTTGAAAAATGTAGATTTTTGCTTCCTATGTGACATTTCTGATTCTCTGTAACATTTCTCTGTAACTGCCATTCCTGTGAGGAGTACTCTAAAGATCAAAACATTAGTATTCTCTGCAGATTGGTGCTGGTTTGACTGATGGACTAAAAGGACACTGAGCCATCTCAAACATGTGGTTAACACTCTGCACCCATCATGGCCCGTTCACATCATTATCACTGCATACAGTCGCCTTCAAAATGAATAGCATCCTTGATAAAGATGAGCAAAAAACCCGGTATAAAATAAATTAGACAAATACTGAGCTATATTGTAAGCTCAAAAAATATATATTATTTTAGACTAATACAATTGCTCAGAGAAATAGATTTTGTTTAACAAGTGCTAAAAATAAAATCTCAAAAATATAGGTTTCAAAATGATTGGCACCCCTGTTTTGAATACTCCGGCATCCTTTCCTTGCAAGGATAACGGCACTGAGCTATTTTGTAAAATGTTTTATGAGATTGGAGAACACATTGAGAGGGATCTTAGACCATTCCTCCATACAGAATATTTCCAGATCCTTGATATCCTTTGGTTTGCGCTTATGGACTGCCCCCTTCAATTCAAACCACAGGTTTTCAATGGCATTGTAGTCCGGAGATTGAGATGACCATTGTCAAAATGTGGATTTTGTGGTCAATTAATCCTTTCTTTGTGGATTTTGCTGTGTGCTTGGGGTTATTGTCTTGCTGGAAGATCCACTTGTGGCCAATTTGAACCTCCTGGCAGAGGCAACTAGGTTTTTGGCTAAAATATCCTGGTACATGGTAGAGTTCTTGATGCCGTTGACCTCAACAAGGGCCCCAGGACCAGTGGAAGCAAAACAGCCCCATAACATCAAAGATCCACCACCATATTTTAAAGTACTGTAGGTACCCTGCTAGCACATTTGGTTCCTTGGAAGTTGTGGGAACATACGTTTTTGGTTTCCCATTAGTTCTGGGAATGACGCCATACATTTCCTGACCGGTAAAACTGAAAGTTTTTTAAACATTCTGAGAACTTGAAGTGAAAATGTTGCCTGTTATTTGAACGTTAATTCTTAGGTTGCAGGGAGATTCTGGGAATGTTTTATTATGGTTCCCTGAAAGTTTACCTGGGAGGCTTTATTAACGATTTGAGAATGGAAATGATAGGTTATTTGAAGGTAATTATTAAATAACGTTCTGAGAACATGTTTCAATAAGACTTTTAATAACACTGCTAGCTTAGGCTAACTGTTTTGAATTCCAAACACACATGGAAATTCATTTGCTTAGGCATTAATCATGCAAACACATTTATTTTTTATTGTGGCACCATGTCAGTGCAATTCGAACCTATGATTTTCTGATGTCTATCCATTTCAAAGGAAACAAGCACTCGTTAAGATCAGGTGTGGCCAATTAGTGGCCACAGCTGAAAACACTTAACAAGTGTCATGACTTGCCCTCATAGGTTGAGGATCAAAGATGCCGGCTAGGCAAAAGTTTGAACACCCCCTTTCCTGGGGGGCAGTTTTATGACTGGTCGTAAATTCCTTAAAGAAATGTTATTTTCCATGCCATGCAGTATTTGGAGAGGGAATTTCCCTGTGGAACAAAGGAAGTCTTCCCGCCAAGACTCCGACATCCAAAAGTGGATAATGAAACAATATTCCTACTTCAAAGAAAGTGGGAAATGGTCGGTGGGGACTTAAAGAACAATCATGTCAAATTCGTTACTATGTTGTGATGTCATTAAAGACGGTGGAACAACATAACTGTATCTCTGGGGGTGTACACTTCCCAGTGATGAGGTTTGCATCTAATTGTTGTACAAAACGAATGATTAAGTATAATAATAATTTTGTGAAGATAACGATGTGATTTTAGCATTCTAGATGAGATGACTGTTTTCCATATTGATTTGTTCTCAGTCATTGGCCACGCCCAGATGAGCACAAACATGATGAAACGCCCCCTTTTCTACTCAAGTATAAAACCCCTCGTGACGAAATTCACCTCAGACCAAGCAGATTACGGTATAAACCGGATGTTGCAAATGGTTGAATTTCTACCAGACGAGGAAGCGTGAAGCTGAAGCTACACGGCTTAAAATGGTTAGACCAGGAAGCCCCTTAAAATGGTTGACACGCTACAGACCAGCAGACGTGAAGCGTGAGTTAAACGTTACAAAATGGTTAAACTCTACAGACCAGCCAACATGCAGTGCGAGCTGAATATGACAAAATGGTGAAACTCTGAAACTCTCTACCTCTACACGAGGTGAAGAAGAAGACAACACACTAGACCTTATCATCTCAGTCTGCAGCTGGCATTGTAATGAATACTCAGGGAGAAAAAGGTGTAGATTCACGCGCAGAGCGCGGCAGGTGTTTATTTTGCCTTCGCAAAAGGCAGGAATCATGGTCACAGGCAGGCAATGGTCATACACAGGTAGCAAACAGGCAGGATAATCAAAAACTAGGACTGAAGTCTATAACTGGTTCTCACAAACGAGCTAGGAAAAGGCTTAGTGGAGGCAAAACGAACAATACCTCACAAACAGAATGAACTGAACTAAATAAGGAGCTAATGAGACCAGGTGAGTAACTAACACAGGTGAAATCAATGAACAAAAATGAAAGACAGGGCTACGTTCAAGAAAACAAAGAAACAGGGCTATGTTCAAGAACACAAGGTTAACTAAGAAAATAAATACAGAACCTTACAGGCATGTATAGTCGTCTAGAGAACTTTCACTAAAGACACGAGTTGGGAAGGACAATCCCTCTCAGACAACCGTTGGTACATCTGAAGTATCTATTCTAACAGATCGTCTGTATGAACTACAGGGTACGCTGAAGTATCAATTCTAACCACCACTATGACCAGAAACTCTACTAAGGACATTGGGATCTCTGGTGGGCAAACCAGAGTCCTATATCATCAACTCAGCTATCGAGGACAGCTATACATAAATACATGTTGCATTTCTAATCCGAATGAGCGGATAGTGGGGTTTTAAGCATTTGTATTTCCGTGATCGTCGTTTCCAAAGTAACCACGATAGTTTGAATCTCTGTCTCTGACCCTCCTGCTACCCAAGCATTCATGCTATTTTTTTTATTGTATTACGTTTGTAACCAATAACCTAGGTGTGTGTGTGTGTGTGTGTTTGTATTGTGTTATTATTTAGTTAGTTAGTAAATAAATAATTTAGCCAATTTGTGTATTGCTGATACATCAATAAGGTTAGGGTTCTTGCAAGTTCAAGGATTATGCGACGTTCAGAATGAGACTGAAAGAGGTAATTATTGAATAAGTGACTGTTATCGATATATAACATAAAACTCAGGAAAAAAAGAAACGTCCCTTTTTCAGGAACCTGTCTTTCAAAGATAAATGGTAAAAATCCAAATAACTTCACAGATCTTCATTGTAAAGGGTTTAAACACTGTTTCCCATGCTTGTTCAATGAACCATAAACAATCAATGAACATTCACCTGTGGAACGGTCGTTAAGACACTAACAGCTTACAGACGGTAGGCAATTAAGGTCACAGTTATGAAAACTTAGGACACTAAAGAGGCCTTTCTACTGACTCTGAAAAACACAAAAGAAAGACGCCCAGGGTCCCTGCTCATCTGCGTGAACGTGCCTTTGGCATGAGGACTGCAGATGTGGCCAGGGCAATAAATTGCAATGTCCGTACTGTGAGACGCCTAAGACAGCGCTACAGGGAGACAGGACGGACAGCTGATCGTCCTCGCAGTGGCAGACCACGTGTAACAACACCTGCACAGGATCGGTACATCCGAACATCATACCTGTGGGACAGGTACAGGATGGCAACAACAGCTGCCTGAGTTACACCAGGAACGCACAATCCCTCCATCAGTGCTCAGACTGTCCGCAATAAGCTGAGAGAGGCTGGACTGAGGGCTTGTAGGCCTGTTGTAAGGCAGGTCCTCACCAGACATCACCGGCAACAACGTCGCCAATGGGCACAAACCCACCGTCGCTGGACCAGACAGGACTGGCAAAAAGTGCTCTTCACTGATGAGTTGCGGTTTTGTCTCACCAGGGGTGATGGTCGGATTCGCGTTTATCGTCGAAGGAATGAGTGTTACACCGAGGCCTGTACTCTGGAGTGGGATCAATTTGGAGGTGGAGGGTCCGTCATGGTCTGAGGGCTAGGGCCATTCCCCCCCAGAACTGTCCGGGAACTTGCAGGTGCCTTGGTGGAAGAGTGGGGTAACATCTCATAGCAAGAACTGGCAAATCTGGTGCAGTCCATGAGGAGGAGATGCACTGCAGTACTTAATGCAGCTGGTGGCCACACCAGATACTGACTGTTACTTTAGAATTTGACCCCCCCTTTGTTCAGGGACACATTCTTCAATTTCTGTTAGTCACATGTCTATGGAACTTGTTCAGTTTATGTCTCAATTGTTGAATCTTGTTATGTTCATACAAATATTTACACATGTTAAATTTGCTGAAAATAAACGCAGTTGACAGTGAGAGGACATTTATTTTTTTGCTGAGTTTATATATATATCTAAGAGTTTAATTTGGGATATGATAACTCGTTAAACAACTTATTCCGTGGTGCCCCAAATTCCTAATGAGTTAGTTGTTACATGATTAATTTAATCGACTGACAATTAAACATAGTTAGGTGATTCGATAAATAACAGTCAATGAATTAAAGTAAGTCACGTCACGACACAAGATAGAGGATAGAGATACATGTAGTTTTGTTGATGCTGAGAACGGAATGTATATGTTTTTAAATAACATTTTTAGAACGTTCTCTGAATGTTAATAAAGTTTTGTGTTTTTTATGGAAAGTTTTAACATTCTGAGAGTGGAATGGATGTTTTTAAATAACATTCTTAGAACGTTCTCTGGACGTTACTAACGTTTTCTTGTGTTTTTTTTTTTTTATGGAAAGTTTTCTTAATGTTCTCAGAACAATTTGAGAACATGACTTTAAAAAGAACCATGAGGAAACTTGTAGGAAATGTTATGCTGAATTACTGAATTACTTCCACAGAAGGACGTTGTTTCTTAACGTTCTCCAGAACAATGTGAGAATTCCCAATGTCAAACATTTTAAATTTTTACATTTTAGTCATTTAGCAGACGCTCTTATCCAGAGTGACTCACAGTTAGTGAGTGTATACATTTTCATACTTTTTTCATACCAGTTGTAGAACATTCCTAAAACATTATCAAAATTGAAATAAAATCCAACCATGTTTGAACTTTTAGGAAACTTTGTTAAAGTAATAAATACCAAGAAAATTATTGTGGGATGGTTGTATGCAAAATAACCAACAGGATAACCACACTCTCACCAAGCCCTACGAAACATATGGTTCTCAGAACGTTATGTGCTAGCTGGGTATGAGGTTCTTTTCTGAATATGCATCCTTGTTTTGGTCTCCAAACTCACCACCGGTTTGTGCGTGGCCAAAGAGCTCTATTTTCATGTAATCTGACCATAGCACTCGTTCCAAACCATTTACAATGTTGGTTGCTCTTAATAAAGGATTTCCTTTGGCAACCCTTCCAAAGAGCATATTGGTATGGATGTGGTGAATGTAATTCTCCAACTTTGGCCCTTGGATTTTTCTTTGCCTCCAGAACCATCTTCCTCACTGTGCGTGGGGACAAGATACCAGGCAAGTTAACACTGTTCCATTGGTTTTAAAACTTCTTAATTGTTGCCCTAATAGTGTTAAGTGTTATATTAGTATTTTTAGCTTTTTTTTTACCCATTGCCTGATTTATGAAGGTCAACAACCATTTATCTCTTCATTTATGAGTAGTTTGCCTTTTCACATGATGAATGACAAAGGGATTTTACATATAGGAAGCCATGGAAGGCCACAATACGTTCCTTAAACTGAGATTAACTTAAAAAATTAGAATGTTACTGCAGATTTTATTTTGTTAGATGTTATTTATAATAATCTTTTGAGGTGCCAATAATTTACTTGTTTTACTTACTTGTTTAACAAAATCTCTTTCTCTGAGCAATTGTATTTGTATATAATAATATTTATTTTTAAATTAAGCATACAATATAGCTCAGTATTTATATCATTTATTTTATACAATATTTTTCAAAACTTTATCAAGGGTGCTAATAATTTTGGAGGTGACTGTATATATAGGCATTTCTGCCTCCCCTTACCCATTTTAATCTTGTGGCTGCAGCTGGAACAGCCTGCGTTATAACAGCACCTCTTGCTGGCTAGGGTCGGTACTGCTCTATATGCGTAGCCACTGATTTGGCAGGGTTCTCCATAGCAGTAGACCGGGTGGGCGATTCCTGAGTGGTGAGAGTCTGTCGGGGAGAGCGTTGGGTTCTGGACCTCACCAGGGCACAACGTTATGGGGGCCACAGAGGAGGGCGGGTAGGGGCATGGGGCTGGAGCTCACGGAGGTCATGTGGGTAGAGGGGGTTTCATGGTGGGCAACGTGGACATAGTAGCCCGAGTAACACGGGTAATGGTGGGGGCTATGGTTAGGGCATGTGGGTGGGCCAGGGAACGGGAGAGGGGAGGTAGCACTTGGAGAGCGAACGATCCTCAGTTTGTCATCATCGAAGCTCTTCTGGTTGAGGAACTGGGCCACTGGTGTGCAGTACTCCACTGACCTTTCTTGGGAGCAGCAGTAGAAGAAGGAGTCACCTGGGTATCGAACCTGCTCCTCTTTACAGACTTCATCGGGTAGCCCAGCAAGGCTCGACACTGGAAGCCAGATCGATGGAGCCGTTCCCCCTGTAATCCCTCCCATGGGGTTCGGGGTGGAATGACTCCTCTATAGAGGTAAGCATCTTTGAACCACTGTGGTTGGGTCTGGGATTGCCATGTTGGAGTTTATGATGCTGTTTTCTTTAGCTTGGGGTTGCAGCGACGTTTGGTCCCAGTACCGCTCAGTGCATGCAGTGTCTTGGCCACCCGTTGTTGGCCTTTAAGAGTGCTGGTGATCTGAGCAAGCTGGCATTGAGGCTGGCTTGACGGACATACTGGCTAAGCAGGGGGGACCCGTCTGGCCACTGCAGGGATTTGACTCCCTGGCGGCGTAGTGTGTTACTGATGGTAGGCTTTGTTACTTTGGTCCCAGCTCTCTGCAGGTCATTCACTAGGTCCCCCCGTGTGGTTCTGGGATTGTTGCTCACCGTTCTTGTGATCATTTTGACCCCACGGGGTGAGATCTTGCGTGGAGCCCCAGATCGAGGGAGATTATCAGTGGTCTTGTATGTCTTCCATTTCCTAATAATTGCTCCCACAGTTGATTTCTTCAAACCAAGCTGCTTACCTATTGCAGATTCAGTCTTCCCAGCCTGGTGCAGGTCTACAATTTTGTTTCTGGTGTCCTTTGACAGCTCTTTGGTCTTGGCCATAGTGGAGTTTGGAGTGTGACTGTTTGAGGTTGTGGACAGGTGTCTTTTATACTGATAACAAGTTCAAACAGGTGCCATTAATACAGGTAACGAGTGGAGGACAGAGGAGCCTCTTAAAGAAGAAGTTACAGGTCTGTGAGAGCTAGAAATCTTGCTTGTTTGTAGGTGACCAAATACTTATTTTCCACCATAATTTGCAAATAAATTCATTAAAAATCCTACAATGTGATTTTCTGGATTTTTTTTTCTCAATTTGTCTGTATAGTTGACGTGTACCTATGATGAAAATTACAGGCCTCTCTCATCTTTTTAAGTGGGAGAACTTGCACAATTGGTAGCTGACTAAATACTTTTTTCCCCCACTGTATATCTAAGAGTTTAATTTGGGATATGATAACTCGTTAAACAACTTATTCCGTGGTGCCCCAAATTCCTAATGAGTTAGTTGTTACATGATTAATTTAATCGACTGACAATTAAACATAGTTAGGTGATTCGATAAATAACAGTCAATGAATTAAAGTAAGTCACGTCACGACACAAGATAGAGGATAGAGATACATGTAGTTTTGTTGATGCTGAGAACGGAATGTATATGTTTTTAAATAACATTTTTAGAACGTTCTCTGAATGTTAATAAAGTTTTGTGTTTTTTATGGAAAGTTTTAACATTCTGAGAATGGAATGCATGTTTTTAAATAACATTCTTAGAACGTTCTCTGGACGTTACTAACGTTTTCTTGTGTTTTTTTTATGGAAAGTTTTCTTAATGTTCTCAGAACAATTTGAGAACATGACTTTAAAAAGAACCATGAGGAAACCTGTAGGAAATGTTATGCTGAATTACTGAATTACTTTCCACAGAAGGACGTTGTTTCTTAACGTTCTCAGAACAATGTGAGAAATTCCCAATGTCAAACATTTTACATTTTTACATTTTAGTCATTTAGCAGACGCTCTTATCCAGAGTGACTTACAGTTAGTGAGTGCATACATTTTCATACTTTTTTCATACCAGTTGTAGAACATTCCTAAAACATTATCAAAATCAAAATCAAATCCAACCATGTTTGAACTTTTAGGAAACTTCTGTTAAAGTAATAAAATACCAAGAAAATTATTGTGGGATGGTTGTATGCAAAATAACCAAAGGATAACCACACTCTCACCAAGCCCTACGAAACATATGGTTCTCAGAACGTTATGTGCTAGCTGGGTATGAGGTTATTTTCTGAATATGCATCCTTGTTTTGTCTCCAAACCCACCACCGGTGTGCGTGGCCAAAGAGCTCTATTTTCATGTAATCTGACCATAGCACTGGGTCCAAACCCATTTACAATTGTTGGTTGCTCTTAATAAAGGATTTCCTTTGGCAACCCTTCCAAAGAGCATATTGGTATGGATGTGGTGAATGTAATTCTCCAACTTTGGCCCTTGGATTTTTCTTTGCCTCCAGAACCATCTTCCTCACTGTGCGTGGGGACAAGATACCAGGCAAGTTTACCACTGTTCCATTGGTTTTAAACTTCTTAATTGTTGCCCTAATAGTGTTAAGTGTTATATTAGTATTTTTAGCTTTTTTTTACCCATTGCCTGATTTATGAAGGTCAACAACCATTTATCTCTTTTCATTTATGAGTAGTTTGCCTTTTCACATGATGAATGACAAAGGGATTTTACATATAGGAAGCCATGGAAGGCCACAATACAGTTCCTTAAACTGAGATTAACTTAAAAAAGTAGAATGTTACTGCAGATTTTATTTCGTTAGATGTTATTTATAATAATCTTTTGAGGTGCCAATAATTTACTTGTTTTACTTACTTGTTTAACAAAATCTCTTTCTCTGAGCAATTGTATTTGTATATAATAATATTTATTTTTAAATTAAGCATACAATATAGCTCAATATTTATATCATTTATTTTATACAGTATTTTTTGCTCATCTTTATCAAGGGTGCTAATAATTTTGGAGGTGACTGTATATATAGGCATTTCTGCCTCCCCTTACCCATTTTAATCTTGTGGCTGCAGCTGGAACAGCCTGCGTTATAACAGCACCTCTTGCTGGCTAGGGTCGGTACTGCTCTATATGCGTAGCCACTGATTTGGCAGGGTTCTCCATAGCAGTAGACCGGGTGGGCGATTCCTGAGGGGTGAGAGTCTGTCGGGGAGAGCAGCTTGGGGTTCTGGACCTCACCAGGGCACAACGTTATGGGGGCCACAGAGGAGGGCGGGTAGGGCATGGGGCTGGAGCTCACTGAGGTCATGTGGGTAGAGGGGGTTTCATGGTGGGCAACGTGGACATAGTAGCCCGAGTAACACGGGTAATGGTGGGGGCCTATGGTTAGGGCATGTGGGTGGGCCAGGGAACGGGGAGAGGGGAGGTAGCACTTGGAGAGCGAACGATCCTCAAGTTTGTCATCATCGAAGCTCTTCTGGTTGAGGAACTGGGCCAGTCGGTGGCAGTACTCCACTGACCTTTCTTGGGAGCAGCAGTAGAAAGAAGGAGTCACCTGGGTATCGACCTGCTCCTCCTTCACAGACTTCATCGGGTAGCCCAGCAAGGCTCGACACTGGAAGCCAGATCTGATGGAGCCGTTCCCCCCTGTAATCCCCTCCCACTGGGGTTCGGGGTGGAATGACTCCCTCTTATAGAGGTTACAGCATCTTTGAACCAGCTGTGGTTGGGTCTGGGATTGCCAGTGTTGGAGTTTATGATGCTGCTGTTTCTTTAGCTTGGGGTGCAGCGACTGTTTGGTCCTCAGTACCGCACTCAGTTGCATGCAGTTGGTCTTGGCCACCCGGTGTTTGGCTTTGAAGGAGGTGCTGGTGATCTTGAGCAAAGCAGTGGCGTTGAGGCTGGCTTGACGCCTGGGGGTGGGACCGTACAGACTCAGCAGATCCACGTCCTCCATCTTCATAGACTTTTTGTTTTGTTTGGAACTTCCAGTTACATAAATGTCCGACTTTGCCACTTTGGGACCCCTTGGGGTGTTGTGTCCCAAAATTACTAAATCTTTTGCCAGATTATTTGTGAGTCTGGTCCGTTGACGATATTCTCTGTATAAGAGCAGACTATTCACAGCCTCCGCATTGAGAGAGGCCATTCTCCGTTTGCGAGGCTCCACGACAGGTAATGTGCATAACACTTTTGATTGTTTGTTTGGTTCCTGCAATTGCCGATAAGCTTTGAAGGTATTTTGTCTAGAATTGCAGGGCTTGGTTCTTCCACGCACCAGGTTACGGCTCCCTTCTTCTTTGGTCTCGATTCGACCCTTCAAGCAGCTCGCCTTGTCCTCATCACTGCTCTCCTCCAGACGGGTGAGAAGGACGCGACAGTCGAGGGTGTCCCCCTCACATAGATCCAGTGTCCTGGCCCTGAGAGGGTACAGCTTCCTATCCTTCTCCTCCTCCTTCTTCTCCACCACTCTCTGATCCTTGCGCTCTTTCGCTCGGCCCCTCTTGATCTTCTTGGGCCTCCCTCTTTTTAGTTTTGGGCAATCAGGCCGGCCTACCCCCACCATGGCCTCAGCATGTGGCAGCCCCCCTACCTGCTCCCAGGAGTCACCGGGGTGGTATCTGCTCAGAGAGTCCTTCTGTTGTGCATGGGTCATCACATCCCTTCACACAGACCCTGGGGAGGAGACATCGAAATATCAATAAATGGGGAGAGTTTTTTGCAGAAACGTAGCCGACATGACAGTGGATGCACGCCAATTAAGAAAGTTAGGCTCAATACAGTTTATATTATGGTACGTGTTCGGGAGAGTCTCAGCTTTCCATTGTGGGATCATATTAATTTCTAGCCCAAACCGCTACGACGCTTTCAACACAGAGGGGATATGGGTTTTAAATAAGCCACAAGGTCAGAAGGGTACTGCTGCTGACATCCATAGGATCATCTCAATTGAGGAATTTCCCCTCAGGTGGACACACACACACACACAGTAACCGGGAAAACCACACACACCCTCACAACACACACAGTATTGAGTCATGTTTCCAGGAAAGCAAAAACTTGCCCTATCCCATTGTGTAGTTCCAATCATGCTTAAGTGATTCGGCAGGTAGCATAGCGGTTAAGAGTGTTGGGCCAGAAAACGGAAATGTCACTGGTTCGAATCCCCCAGCCGACTAGGTGAAAAATCTGTCGATGTGCCCTTGAGCAAGGCACTTAACCCTAACTGCTCATGTAAGTTGTTCTGGATAAGAGTGTCTGCTAAATGACTAAAATGTCAAATTCATCAATCGAGCTTTGTATTATCAGGTTAACCACACATTAACCCTGGACTGTGTATTCAATGGAAAGAGCTTCAAATGACATGCTTATTACAACCTCTCAGGAGGGCAAAGATAGTACTCTAACATTTACAGTGCATTCGGAAAGTATTCAGACCCCTTGACTTTTCCACATTTTGTTATGTTACAGCCTTATGCCTTATTCTAAAATGGATAAAAGTGGCTTCTGTCTGGCCACTCTACCATAAAGGCCTGATTGGTGGAGTGCTGCAGAGATGGTTGTCCTTCTGGAAGGTTCTCCCACCTCCACAGAGGAACTCTAGAGCTCTGTCAGAGTGGCCATCAGGTTCTTGGTCACCTCCCTGACCAAGGCCCTTCTTCCCCGATTGCTCAGTTTGGCCGGACGGCCAGCTCTAGGAAGAGCCTTGGTGGTTCCAAACTTCTTTCATTTAAGAATAATGGAGGCCACTGTGTTCTTGGGGACCTTCAATGCTGCAGACATTGTTTGGTACCCTTCCCCAGATCTTTGCCTCAACACAATCCTGTCTTGGAGCTCTATGGACAATTCCTATGACCTCATGGCTTGGTTTTTGCTCGGACATGCACTGTCAACAGGTGTGCACCTTTCCAAATCATGTCCAATCAATTGAATTTACCACAGGTGGACTACAATCAAGTAGAAACATCTCAAGGATGATCAATGGAAACAAGATGCACCTGAGTTCAATTTCGAGTCTCATAGCAAAGGGTCTGAATACTTATGTAAATTAGGTATTTCTGTTTTTTATTCTTAATAAATGTGGCTTTGTCATTATGGGGTATTGTGTGTAGATTGATGAGGGAAGAAAACAATTTAATCAATTTTAGAATAAGGTTGTAATGTAACAAAATGTGTAACAAGTCAAGGGGTCTGAATACTATCTGAATGCACTGTATGTCCTCTATGGCACAGAACACTAGAGTAAACTGGGATAATTCAAGTTTTTGTGCTCCCTGGGCAATACAATAACACTCAAGTCATCATGTTTAAGAGTGGATTGTCATTCACACTCCAGAGAAGCACCACTTTCCACAGAGGCCATTCATATCTTAGACTCCCTGAAGTGATGTACAATCCGGATTGAAGTATTTTTTTCCAATACTGGCTGCATGGAGATAAAACCTAAAAGCTGATATGATCCATAGTCTGCTTGAAAAAGCCTAATAGTTACCGTCTGAAGGTTGGCTTAAGATGGACATTCTATAACTGCTTTCTCTTATGATAAGTGGCGCAGCACTGTATCGCTGCATCGCTTATGATAAGTGGTCTAAGGCACTGCATCACAGTTCTAGCTGTGCCACTAGAGATCCTGGTTCGAATCCAGGCTCTGTCGTAGCCGGCCGCGACCGGGAGACCCATGGGGCGGCGCACAATTGGCCCAGCGTCGTCCAGGGTAGGGGAGGGGAGGGAATGGCCGGCAGGGATGTAGCTCAGTTGGTAGAGCATGGCGTTTGCAACGCCAGGGTTGTGGGTTCGATTCCCACGGGGGGCCAGTATTAAAAAATATATAATAATGTATGCACTCACTAACTGTAAGTCGCTCTCGATAAGAGCGTCTGCTAAATGACTAAAATGTAAATGCAATTCATGTTTTTCTATCATACTATGAAAATATCATCAAATGCCTATCATCAATCTGCAACCATTCAAATGTTGGTGTGACTACTAAGCAAACACTTTCCTTACAATTAGCCTACCCACTGAAATCAATGCAGAATAACACACATAACTCTAAACTAACTAGTTACCCCCAATTAAGGCAGTGGGAAATTATTGATGAATGGAGGAGGTTTTTTACGCACACATAAATAACTGGACTAAAAACAATAACAGGACTACAGGAGCTGGATTTGGTATGAAATACCACTTTATAACAGTAGGCTCTATACACACCAATAGTATGGCACTTTATAGGACCCCAGCCTGCCATTCTATTGATGTTGTTTTCTGTTATTCACACAAATTCCTTACACATCAGTTAGAACAGAAGTTTGATGTAGGCTACATTAATTGCCTTTTGGAGTGCAGGATACCCCTTGTCTATATGCATCATATGCATGATTGCTACCAAATGCAAGACTCTTACAGATGTGGGTTCTCTCAAATACATGCCTTGTATTGAGCCTGTCTTGAGTGCCGGATAGGTGGGGTTTGCACATTTGGGACTATTCCATTGAGTCCATTGTGCCAAGTAAGATCAATCAAGTGCAGTATTTGAAAAAAAACAAATACTAACTGAACCCGGGACCTTTTTATCTTCACAATAACAATAACATTGCACTGGTTTCCTCCAATCATTTACAACCAAAGAGTAACCTTTGCAAACACCCACTACTGAGTCAAGATAAGAATAAGATATGACAACAACAAAAAAACTTGAACAGATGCCTGTGGGTCTGGTAATCTTGTTTTCATAGGTTATAATCATTTAATTTACAAATCAATACTAAGATGTGTATCAAGAAAAGAATCCCAAAAAGTAAATGTAATTTTCCCTCTAAAAACAAGCCGACTCTCTGCATGATGTTGTTCTTTGTTCAGCACTTTCCTATTCTATAGCAGACATACATGTTTTAAATGAAAACCAGAATAATGTTCAGTTGACTTGATTCTGGACTGCATTTTTAGCCTTGCATTTCCAAACATCCCACAACTTAAAGGGACATTCCAGTGGACTCAGGGGACCGTGAAATGCAATACATGAGAAAGACCATTTTATTTAGAGATAATGAGGGAACAGAAGGAGACACGCATTGAGTTTCTGACTATGGATATCAAATCAAGTTGCTTCATTGGAATAAGACAACAGGCTATGGAACGAATCATGTGTAACTGAAGCACATTGTTTTCTACAGAAATGTTTTATTGAAAAATGAAAAAGCTAAGGATAACTTGGATAAAGAAAAAAAAAATATATATATATTATATAGTTTATGATATTTCATATCATATTGTTTTTAACTTTTAATAAAACCTAAAGTTGGTCTTGGTGCAATATTTGCACTTTGGCCACTCTATGAGTGACCAAGACAAGTGGACTGGTGCCAAATACTGCTGGATATGGAGAAGCCTAATAATATAAAGGGCATCGTCATGTAACCCACAAAGCCTACACTAAAATAATAATGGGAGAAAGAGGTGGAAGACCATGGATATGATGAGGGAACCAGGTAACCTAGCGGTTAGAGCGTTGCTGGTTCGGTAACCAAAATGTCACTGCCTGTAAAACAACCATTTCACTGCAGCTATCTGGTGTACGTGACAATATATATTTTTAAACCGACCTTCCGCTACAGTGCAGTTTTCATAGGGCGTATCACAGAAACCAGAACCGCTCTTATATCATCTATCACGCTTCGGGGTTTACCATATTAACTTACCACCATGAGCAACGAGGCTATGAGCCTAGACCGCAAACTCACACGACTCAATGCGTGTTCAGTATTTAGATGAGCGATTAGCCTACTAATCGAATATTTAGCCTAATATTATAGTCAGTCATTATAATCCGGTTAAACCCAAATTATGAGATTGATAATGCATTGTCAAAAAATATGTTCTAAATTCTTGAGTTCGGCTACCGACATGTGCTATTTTAACAGGATGGCAGGCTATACTATAATATCAGAAGTAACGGTTCAGGTGGATGCAGGTAATGAATAATCATGATCTCTGACTGCAAGCATAATAAAGCAATTATAAGCATGTTATTACAACGTATAGGCTATACATTAAATATGATGCATTATGCGCTATATAATTTTACCTTAGGTCCCGATAGATGGTCGATTTGAGTCCACTCTTAATTCAAATTACACCTTTTATAAATGATGAACAGTGTCGACGTGTAATTGAGAAATAAAACGAGCACCCAATAGAGCTGATACATGGTAAAACGGTGACCTACTTCCGAAGTGGCATGCTAGAGATAATATTCATGCGCTGAATTCGCGAGACCGCTGTTGCGCTGGGACAACGAGCAATATATATCATTCCAAGAGCCACGATTTTCACAAGGATTACCGAAGTATATGGAGGTCAGAATTAACTACCAGTGGTCATATCAATCTGCTCTAACAGCGACGGAGATTATTTCTCTGCACAGACCATCAAACTTGCTGCATTTATCAAACCTGCTTCACGAGACGCCGCAGCCCAGGACTATGAAAAAATCAATATCAAGGCAAAACTTTGTTGCAAAGTGCATAATTAAGATTCTTCCTAAATCAACCCCAATCTGAACAACTCCAAACTAAATGTAAACCAATGACAACGACTGTATTTGCGTGTCCTTGAAATCTAGGTTTCTCCCTGTGATGGAGCAAATTTAGTTAA